ATTAGACACTCTTTTCAATCTAATATTTTCACTAGACACTATTTTGGACCCAATTTTTATCACATGCTCTTTTGAATCCAATGTTTTTATTTGATACTTATTGGATCTTATTGAATATTCTCATTGGACACTCTACCGAATCCAATATTTTTATTGGACAATCTTTTGGATCCAATGTTTTTATCTAATACTCTTTTGGATCCAATATTTTCATTGAATACTTATTGGATTCTCTTCTGTATCCAATGTTTTTGTTGGATACTCTTCTGGATCGAATATTTTTATTGGATGTTCTTTTGGATCCAATGTTTTCATTAGACACTCTTTTCAATCTAATATTTTCACTAGACACTATTTTGGACCCAATTTTTATCACATGCTCTTTTGAATCCAATGTTTTTATTTGATACTTATTGGATCCAATATTCTCATTGGACACTCTGCCGAATCCAATATTTTTATTGGATAATCTTTTGGATCCAATGTTTTTATCTAATACTCTTTTGGATCCAATATTTTCATTGAATACTTATTGGATTCTCTTCTGTATCCAATGTTTTTGTTGGATACTCTTCTGGATCGAATATTTTTACTGGATATTCTTTTGGATCCATGTTTTTATTAAACACTCATTTGGGCCCAATATTTTTATCACAGACTCTTTTGGATACAATATTTTCATTGGACACTCTTATTGAATCCAATATTCCATTTTTTAAATGGATGAGGATTTATGAAAGGAGGAGATACTCGTAAATCAAAAAGCCTAATCAAGGGAGAGAAAGGGAACTAATGATCTAGTTGATGAAACAATTTATTTACGCGTTTCTTCGATTATGCCCGCGAAAATATAGAAATACACAAAGGTCCAATGCAAAAAAAACAAATACTCAATGGATACTAGAAACGTTCCAAAATGTTCGGGACGAAACGCTCTAGTCGAAAAGAAACGAGCCGAGAACTACCTTCAATATCGATGGTTAGACGTTCTAACCGATCGCGAGACGCTCGGAATTACGAAAAGTAACAAGCAAAGTGCCGCAGCAGCCGAGGTAAACTCGGCGCAATCCGTCGTTCTTAATGCCGCGTTGGAAATACATGGTGTAGCAATAATCTGCTTTGCAAACTTTCGTTTCTCGTCTCGTCTCGCCTCGTCTCGTCTCGTTTCCTGATAACTCGCTCCTCCCATTGTGCCCGGGGATCTCTCGACGTAACGACGAAAACGTTGCAGCAAATCGTCGACTCCGTGAGAGTCAACCGAGGGGCTCCAGCCGGGTGCCCCGGTATTTTTCATAACGAGACGCCATTATCTCGTATCTGGAAAGTTACTAAACGGCGCGCTCGGTCGAGCCCGTATTGTCCTCCGAAGGAGCTTACGCCCCGTCTCCAAAGAAGCGCGTAATGACGACCCGAGCGCGCCCACTCGGCGATAAATCCCACGAAAAATGACTGCCGTCACGGCGGTGACGGGAGAGAAATTTTTGAGACAATACCGAGTGATTCGAGAGCGCTCCAAGCCCCAAGGCGTAACGATCTCGACGTTGGATTCAATGGATCCCGCGTCTTTCGGGGCACACTTGTTGCCGGTGCTGCTGCCGCGTTTAATCGAAAGGGCGTATCCCTTTTCGCAACTTTCGCCTCGAAAGTCGAGTCGAGTTAATGCCAACTAGCACGGAAATGGTTTATCTGCGTGTATATATGTACGTAAGGGAAGTGTGGCGAAGAGCGCGAGGATAATAGAAAATTAAATAGGTGTCGTTTCAACTGACGTAACTTTGTAGTATACAGATCGTATAATTTTGGTGAACTCATCTTCCACTTTCTGGTGAATCTTCTACTTTGTCAGTCGTAAGTTTGTTTCTTTCTTTCAAGATGATTTTACGTTGCGAAGCGACTTGGAAAAGTGTGAGGAGTCTTTCTTTTTCTTGAAAATTGTAGAAATTCAAACGCGCGTAAGAACGTTGAAAAAATTTTTTCTTAAATAAATCCACCGTGAAGAACGAAGATCGAAGTCGTCATCATTGATGTTATCATCTTTGAAAGATGATGAGAATATTTTATACATTTTGTTGCATTGAAAGAGACATTGGAATTTAAACTTTGTGATATATAAATCAATAAAAGCGTTGTTCGCGAAACATTCAACCCTTGACGGTGGCACACTTGTACGTGTGTACATTGTTCAAATACGAGTTTTATGTTTAGCATCGCCTGTTACAAAACGTTGAAACACGTCGAAAAAATCTGCAACGGAACAACCACATTTTTCCATATAAATTTCAGAAGTTCTCGTGATTGACTTCGTGATTTTTTTTTTCTTTTTTTCCTTTTACAACTACATCAAATATAATCCATACAGCGCTGCACGATCTCGGAAAAAGCAATTTTACACCGTAGGACATCGAACAATAGGTCCCGTCAAGCTGATCGAAAAGTGTATTTCGAACAAAAGAAAGGGAAAAAAAGAACAAAAACCAAAGAACGTCGTTAACCACTCCAATTGATGAAATAATTTGATCGAATCGCGATCTCCTTTCAAACAAAACTGCACCTCGCAGCGAAAAAACGGAAAGAACATCGGGCACACCTTTATGGAAACATTAATAGGTTTTCGTTCACGAAACCAGTGATTTAACAAGATAATACGCTCGATGAATATGGGTCACGGTGGACTATCGTCGTGGTTGAATTAACACTGCCAACCGCGAAAGATCGTTAAATTTCATGTGTTCTGACTTTGGCGCCAGAAGTACAAGAAAAAAAATAAATAAATAAATAAAACGAGGGAAAATTTACGAGAAATAAAAATAATTGAGATCGAAGTGTTGTCAATCACAGTTTTGTACATACAACAGGAACTTGAAATAGGCGTTGAGAGAAATGGAAAATTTAGAAATTTGGGGGAAAAGTTCTCTACGATTCGTCAAATATCTTCCAACACAGAGCTATATAACAAATCAATGAAACGAAGCTCGCATAGTCCTTTTAATTTCTAAATAAATGAAATTCGATATTCGATCGTTTCAACGTTTGCGCAAACTCAACAAAATCATCTCGACGCTGCAAAATGTCACAAATCGCAATACTTGTACAACGTAAAATTAATAAAAAAAAAAAAACAAAAATGACGAAAGAACGAATTAAAAACTGATTCGACAGTCCTTTGAGAAAACTCATTCAAAGTTCCAAGCATGTGTATCGAGCGACACAGTTTATTTTGCCAGAGCCGAGTTCAAACAAAAGCTTCACCTCGAAGATATTGGCGCGTCGTCCGAGTCCGACGATAGAATCGAAACAATCGGTCCGATTGTGCCGTTGCACGAGCCAGCTCGTATGACGCTCCAACGACTGCGATTTCCAGGTAAATCACAGGGGCAGGAAGTGAGATGGGGGCGGATATCCTTTCGTGTTAACCGATCGGAAAATCTATCGAGATAGGCGGACGTAGCGCGAGAGATCGGCGCACGTAAGGCAGCGACGCGCGTCACAGAGACGGAAACGATGAGGAACCTCAATATAGGGCGGCGTGCACCGTACAAGGAGGGGGAAGAGGGAGGGGAGGGGGAGGGGGTGGGGGCGCGTGTGCACACGTATCTCACGCGATAAGAAAGGCCACATTTCAATCGTGATTGAATGCAACCGCAGCCGCTGCTAGCCGGGCTTAACCTTAACGCCCACGGATCGAGGGTTGTTTCATCCCCTTTCCACACCCCCACCCACCCACCCACCCACCCACCCTCGTGCAAATTCAAGCTTTGCCGCGCGTCCGCGTTCACCAAGATCTTCCGGCCAAGATTCGCATTCAGAGGTTTCACGAGAGATTCGCCTGAAAATTGGCTACAACCTGCGAATTCGTACGTGATACGAACAGTTTCTCTCTCTCTCTCTCTCTCTCTCACACACACACACACACACACTCACTCCCTCTCTCTCTGTGGACGACAAAGTGTGTTCGATACCCGGTCGGTGCTGTGCGCGCTCAATACACCGATACACGAATCGAGTTTTCCAACGGGGTTTGCAGAGAGTGGACCAACTCCGCGACGATAATCCCGGCAAAGTTGCCTCTAATTTATGACGCTCGCAATGCTTCAAGGGTTGCCGAGGAAGTTTCGTGGCCGTCGGTGGTTGGGTTCATTTGGTCGATACGTCGGTTAAACGATACGTTGGTTTAGGACGAGCGACCGTTTTCGACGCTGTTGGATTGTCGTGCCACACGGAGAGTCTTCCCTCGTCAGAGGAAATTGCGAGCATTTCGGGAAAACTTTTTAATCGTGTGACGTTTGTCGATGTTGATGGAGAATTTCTGAGACGGGATATGTTGCGCGTTGGTTACTTTTTTTTTTCTTTTTTTCGCACGGGCCAATCGAAATTGACGAATTTCTGAAACTAGAAATTCTCGAACGACGTTAATTTAAAATTTACTTTTTGAGACAGCGTAAATATCCGACGATAATGTTTTGGATGAACTGATGAAATTTTTTGGAGCGTTCGAAGAAATTTTTAAACGACGTTAATTTGAAATTAATGTATATCGAGAGATAATGTATTTTTGGTACAGCATAAATAGAATCTTAGAGAAGCTAGTCGAAACTGAGGAATTTCAAATTATTCGAGAAATATTTATGCTACAGCGCATAGATATTTTATATGGCAACACATTATATACAAACTGGCCGAAACTGACGAAATTTTTAATCAAAGGCGAGCGTTCTACGTTATTCGAGAGATATATTTTTGCGTCTTGTAGTTATTCGAGAGATATACGTTTGAGACAGCGTAAATATAGTAATATTCTAAACACGAAATTTTATCAATCAATCATTATCAAGTGCATTATTTAAACGATGAATGGTGATAAAACTTTTGCTTTTCTTTTACATGACGCGCACAAACGGCAAGGAAAAAAGCAGAAACAACGATCGATATAACACGCGAGAATAATACTTCATATTTCAGAAGTTCCTCCCCCCCCCCCCCCCCGAAACGATAACCGAATTCCATTTTTCACTTCGACAGGAAATATACAAGCGTGTCGTAATTCAAGTCCTGACGTCGAAATTATAACATGGCCGATATATTCGCAAATGCAGTCAACGTCGATGCGTATCGCGAATAATTGCCAAACCGACGTTTCCCAAGAACATTTTCGCGAATCTCGCTCGTGATCGTTACTAACAACTTTGTATATTATAACAACCAGTAATAACTAAAGTTGTGTCATATTGTTATATTGTAAAATATTGATGTTTGTTTCTCTTCAATTTTTGAAGTAATTGAAAAACGTGTTAGAGTTTCAGTTCTTCGTAATATTCTACGAAAATTAATTCATAAAGTTGGAGATTTATAAATATTGTGACACGTAAAAGACATTAGGAAATTATTTGTTCGATTACTTATCGATTCATCTTCCTACTTTTGATATTTATCCAATACAAATGAATGACATTTCCTTTTTTTTTTTTTTTTTTCGCATCTTGAAGAAACCATTGTGAGAAACGAATTTTCATGTCCGATCAATCCAATATTCCAATCATTCTCGAAATACAATACAACAGAGCTCCATTTATTTGAACCAAATTTTAATCAACACACGATTAAATGAATTCTTGCTCGAGTTCACGTATATTGAACTCTCGTTATACGAACGAAAGATCGCTAGTAGAGGAAAGAGCCAATGAGCTCCCATTAAATAAACCATTTGTCCACCGATAAATTCCTATAAACTTCTTCTTCGCAGTTTCGCGTAGTTCGTTCTGAAGAATGAACTGATTTACCGGGAGGACACGGTGTGGAAACAACCTGTTCACGTTCGACGACACACACACGTATCGTATCATTATCCATTTGTCCGATAATAATCTCCAGTTTCGGTCATTTCAATGAATTCTTCGTGTTAATGAATTAGTAATCAATTGAACCGGCCGATGTTAACGGATTATCAAATAATTGCAAATCGCGCGATACGAAGTTATTTAGACCGAAACGCATATCACCGGTCAGTATATCACGAACGTGTACGTAGTAAAACGTGGCAGCAGATATTTAATTATCGCTATGCTATAAGCTAGATTCGATTGTCCATCGTGGCGTGGCTAGTTCGAAAATAGTAATCGTAGAGTTCGCGCTAATTTTGTTCAATCTCTTTCTTGATCGCTTGAATTCGGCCACCTTCGATTTATTCATAAGTGCATGAACGTTAATTAAAATTCTGAAAGTAAATTGAATACTCGCGTTTGTTTAAGACTCACGCATTCATTCAAAAAGATTTGTTTAGTGATGAAACGATATATTCCTTTCATACAAACGAGAAGGGAATTAATTCACAATAATAATGATAATTATTGTCATTATTTTTCTAACTTCTTTGTGTTTCATTATTGTTTAAAACAGACATTTGACGAACTGTATTAAAATACCTTCGTTCCTGGCACATTGTTTTCTTTTTCAATCATAAGTCGTACCAAGCAAACATCTGAATTATAACTATTGTAAATTTCGGAAAATTATAGAAAATTCTAACAGACAAAAAATTAATAAAAATGTACTCATCGCGTTTCAAACGACAAAAACATTTGACGAATATATCATTAGAAAGTAATACTTCGCGAGCCATCTTTGTTCTCCTGACAAATTGCTCACTTTCTCAATCACGTCGTGCTAAGGACTAAAAAAGAATTTTATCACAGTATCGTAAATATTTCAGGAAACTAAAAAAAAAAAAAAATTGGAATATTGCGGCGTGCATGCGTGTTATTTAATAAATACAATATAAGAATATACATCATTATCGTTACGACAAGTTTTCGCAGTATTAGAAATAATTCGCGAAACTTCAAAATCATCGAGAGAATCAAAAAAAGAAACGAAAGTATATTCGTAATATTTTTCATTGCTGCAGTCTTCCAATTACCACACGATTGCCGACACAATTTCAACGCAGATCATTCGTTTCGAGCGTTGAGTGTATTTAGTTGCGGAATAATTCGCGGCCAGCCGTTGCGGAATAACTCGCTTTGCGTTTTGTCGCGCGACAGAGGTAACCCATGTCAGCGGCATCGTTCGAATATATCGCCTGGACACTCCAATTCGCCATGAACGCTGGACGTATTATTAGACGTGGACGACCCACTCCTCCCTCTTTCGCCACCCTCTCTAGCTCGTGTAACTCGTCTGGCTAATATTAACGTCGCGTTGCTGCGAAATGTTCAGGAAACAAGGTTGTAAACACGCGTGTTCGCGAAAGAAAATATCGCCGGTGTTCCCACGCGGCCGCTGGATACGGCACACGCCGGATAATTTACGGCCGTTGAAGTTTTCATGGCTCGCCATTGTTGCTAGTTAGTGCCTTGAAGCCGCGCCAGCCGGCGTCGTACCTCGCGATCCCTCACGTCCACGCGAATTTGAATAATACAAACGTCCGCGGTGTCTTAACAATTTCCACGGCATTTTCCAGGGACGGTGGAAAGTGATTCCAGGAAATTAAAATTCGTGTGTAAAATGTAAAACGCGCCCCGCCGGGTTGTACTATAACCCCGCCGGAGTTACACGGCTTTTAGAACACGTCGCTAGAACCAGACATTTTATTACCGACCAAGCCTAATTGTAACACCTGTCTCTATCATCCTTCTCTTGCCATCCTCCATTGAACATTTTACGTAGCTTTTTTCAATTTTATTTTATTCTTTTTTTTTTTTTTTTTTTTTTTTTGATCCCAAAAGTGCCCCGGATTTTTTTTTTTTTTTTTTT